TCCAGCAGGTGAAAATAATTATTTGTACATGTTGAAACTCTCTAGTTTGGCACTCTTGGGACCTGACCAGTGGTGAACCAGAGAATTTGCCCAACCACAGTAGGTCAATATTGTAGAGAGTGGGTCTCTTTTTATTTTTATTTTCTGAAGCTAATAAATGGAACAGTGCTTGCAATGCTGCTTAATATTGTGTGACTGTAGTGATACACCCTATATGCCTAGTCAAGGCTTATCAGCTCTCTTCAGTTAGTGTTGTTAAAAAAAATATTGTATTGGCATAAGGAAATAAGTAGATAAAGCATAAAAACCATGCTTAATGGCATTACCACCACTTCCACTGCTTCTGACCTCTTAGAAGACATTTAGGGGTAAATTAGAGCTAAATAACAGCACAGAATACTGAGAACGAGGAGTGGTAGCTGTAAAGAAACTTTATCGGACTGTGGGAAACTTGGTCACAACCATGATAAGTAAACATTCAGCTAATTAAAAACATGTTGGATCACGGATATTGCTGGACCAGAGTGTGCCGGACTAGAAAGGTTCAACCTGCATAGTTATATTGAAGTGAACTTACAGCAAATTATTTCAACTCATGTTTAACACTAGTTTATGGCATGTGCTTTAGATTACTTGTGGGTGAAACGTCATCAGCAGATAAAGTATATGGGTTATATTCTTAGGTTTTTTGTATATTATCTCTTTGGCTCGTTGTCATTTTTATTGTTTCTGTTATCCTTGATTTTAAACACTTTGTCATTTCACCTTATCTTTGACAAAAAAAAATTCTATTATTATCTACTTGTACTGGGCTACTCAACTTTGGAAGCCCCGGGGGCCACAATGATACTGACAGCACATGCCAAGGGCTGCAAATTAAGTGTGGTTGCATATACATGCAAAAATATATGCAAATAGCTTCTTTCACGGGCATGAATTAAAAAATTAATAAAATGCAATATTTACCCGATTCCCACCCATATGACAACACTTTTAATGAGCAATGACAGTCCAGGAATTTAACTGCTAAAACACATATCAACAGAAGACCATTATATTGACTTGCTGTTATGGAGTTTGTTCCCAGTGGAGGTCATGTTCTAAGGATCTCACCTGCAGGCCACATGTTGAGCCCTGTGTAAACTCAAACCACACCATGGGCCACAAACAGTCTGCGGGCTGCATGCGGCCCACAGCCTGCGTGTTGAGTAGTCCTGTTCTAGTATTTGCATTCAAATGCTTCTACATTTTAGCAAGTTAAGCAAAATCCATAAAGTCTTGTTAAGCTCATTTATAATGCATTTTATTTCTTTGCTTTTAATATTTTAAATATCTCTCTAAAATTTTCTGCTGAGGTACAATAGGAGTTTCATAACTTTGAAGTTGGTTCTTAATGGTGAAAATTGATGAGAAAATATGTTCAATAGCAATTTAAGTTCATTTGTATTTTATAGGTGTCTGTACAAACTGCAGATTCCTCCTTTTGATTTTGTGATGTGTGTGTTTTTATGTTGCTGAATATCTGTTATACACTGTAGACTTGAACAGATGCTACTTTTAAGTTCTCTGATCCTCTACATTTCTAATGTTACACCCAACTTAATTCTCATTGCTTTTCTGCTTCATAGAACTCCAAGTTTATAGAGAGTCTAACCTTCAGATTCATATTATGATAATTAGGTTTCAAGGCAATGCAGGGGGATTAAGATGTTTGAGGTCTAGATGCATAATACAGATTAGAACTACTTATAAAATGAGTTTGGTTAAGAGAAGCATTCAGTGATTATGCCAGGATTGGTCCTTAGTTCATCAGATATCCTCACTACTGTAACCCTAGATGTGAACTTGGGACTTGATTTACTTCAGCTCAGTTTTCTTTTTTAATGTGCCAATGAAAGAGGTACATGAAAGATAACTAACAGCAAAGCATCTTCTAAAGTAAAATGGTTGATATGAATCCCTTTTTAACACTGTCAGATGTTTCAGCTGGTTTGCATCCTTTTACAAGCTAGTGCTTGCTGCACTAAGGCAGTTTTTTCAAGTCAGTTGAGGGTATTGGAAAGGAAAGATGGGGGGAAATGCAAAATTTTACTCGTATTTCTGTCAAGCTACACTTTTTTCAAGTTATTATTTTGATGTTAGATAATATAACATTGATCACACCGTGTATGCAACTACACATAGATGCCTGTAGGAGCCAGAAAATGACCCAAAGCTGTTGTGCCACACAGGCATCATGAGGAATCTCTTTTGGGTCAGGGACTGCACACAAGTGAGAAGCAAGTGTGAGCCTACAGGGGTCCAACCTAATAGATTTTGTGTGCCTCAGCTCCATGGTGCGGCAGTGGGAGGGGAGCGTGCGGGAGGGGCAGATGGGG